GGTGTGAAGGCTGCAGGCTGCCCTCCCTGTCCGTCTCCTCTATTTAGATGCCATAGGATCGCTGAAAGATGATGGAAATACAAGTCTGAGAAGGCAAAGCTACCAGGAAAGAGAAAGGGATGAAAGCCATGTGACACACCACTACTGTATTCACCAAAACCTGCAGGTATGCGCACCCTTCTGGTTAGCACTTCTGACACGCAGAAAGCCAAAGCGTGAGGTTTGCAAGTTTGAGTTTTGAGTTTGCAACTCAGCCTCGGTGTATGGCAGGCGCCTTCTCGTCGCCTTTATATCTGCACAGAAATGACTGTAGAGCATATCCAGAAAGTCTCGTTTCAAGTACCCGGACCAAAAGTGTCTCCAGCCGCTATTTGGAAAACAAATTTCTACCTTCTTAAAGGTACAAAAAAGCATGTATGTAGGCTACATGGTTTAGTGCTGAGGAGACAAGTACGCTAAAAATGTCTGTCCCCATCTACATGCAGGTGAGCTTCTGAAATTAAAGGGGTCTGTCTGATAAGAACACAGATTAAGCACGCCAGGCTTTCTGAGAGGGGATATGGCAATGCAGGCATCATTATTTCAGAGGCGGTTTTGTGCCAGGGCTTTAAATCCAGCAAAGCACCATGCTTTGAAACCTTGCCTCTTTCAACACAGGGTCGTCTTTATTATAAAGGCATGCTGCATATCTCTTGGGTTTCCTTTTATTAGATCTGAAGCAGAGAAGTGGGGTCGGGTGCTCAAATGGCAGACTGCCGCGCCAGACTGGTACAGCAGTCTATAAGCTATGTGTAAATGCATGCTCTACGTCAGCAGCGTAACGGAGGTAAGTTAGGGGAGATCAAGGTTGTGTGTGACTTTTTTCTCTTCTCCTAAAGGACTTAAGGGAGCCAGAAAGGATTTGTGCAGAAGTTAGCCATCAGTTAACATCAATTAATATCAAAGTTTTCTGACTGAAGCGTGCCTTGGATTATCGGTTAATTGTTGAGCACCCAAAAAGCATGGTTGTCCAGTTCATTCATAGCTAAGCTCCCTTTCTTACCCTTGCAGGTACTTTTCTCTCTTTTAAGTGGACAATGCCCCCGTCTTGGGCACACGCTTCTGATCTTACGGCCTGAAATAACCTGTGTCTTTTGGTCCTTCGGAGACTTTATGTGCAGGTGCTGCACTAGATACGCTTGGTATCTACTTTATGAATGCCTAATTGCACAGCAGTTATCCAGGTCTCAAATTCACTTTGAGCTTATCCCAGATGCCATAACCCAAACACCTCTTTTAAGATAAGCATTAGACGGCATGTATTTATCAGAAGCAAGATTGCATCAAGCTACGATTAGTGAGTATATTACACAAACTGGCAAATCAGAGCCTCCCGTCTCTTCTCCCTCCTCCTAATAGGTAGCATCCTATTTGGCAAGAATTAGGCTACTAGCTGTTGGCATTAGTCTGTATGTTTGGCTGGAGAAATGCTTTTTTAAAAATCTCTCTTTTGTAGTTGTTTGGGTTCTGCAGATTCAAACCCCAGCTGTGCTCACCTGGCAGATTACCAGCGGCAGAAGGGTCAGAGAGAGGACTTGGCAGGGAAGTGCGTCTGCGAGGCGCTATGAAGAAAACTACCATTGATGTGGGATTTCTGGCACAGGTAAGCAAGGCAAGCAAGTAAAGAAACGAAACTCTGACAATGGAAGCCAAGCTACGACTTGGCTGTGGCTGCTTAGGGCAGGCAAAAGTACCACCCCTTGTAACATTATTCAGGTGGCCTGGCCTCGCTCCTAGAAAGCATTGCTAGTTTCTCTAGGAAACGTACTCATAAAGTGACTGGTCCAAAATTGTCTACGGCTGCAAAAGGAATTAATCTGCCGACTGGGACTCGGCTGCAGTAACAGGTGATTCCTATCATAGCTCTCAGAGGAAGGCATCTAGGTGAAAACGTGCCAAGGTTTTGTTTAAGCCCTCACCTTTAGTGCCATTGTGGGTTTTGCCGTAAGAAAAAGACCTTGCTCGTTTCTCTTTTATTACTACTGTGATAAATTAAGAGACAATAAAAGATCATGAATCCTATCCAACCCCAAGCCAGACTTGCTGGCAAGTGGCAAAAGAGAAAGTAAATAACCAGGAATCTGAGAAAGAGAAACCTAAGGCCTCAAAGAGAAACCTTCCTCAGTCTGAAGGGCGCTGCAGGTACAAGGTTCTGTTTGGCGACCACCACCCTTATGCTCGTTATTGAAAGATTTAACGTAGCTCTGCATCAGGATATACATCAAATATGTTAAACCCAGTTTAAAGTAACGTGTGGGAAGAAGGAATATTCGTGCTTGAGATTGTGATAGCTGCCTCTGCGTGGCCTCGCATTAATTTAACAGAGCTTGTGCAATTCAGTCTCTAGGGCCAAGCCCGAGGGAGCCGTGTCAGCGGGAACATCCCGAAGCTAACGCAACGGCAATCTGGAAGAATGCAGCAGAGGAAGAAGGATGCACGGATGAGCGAATGGATTTCTTGCCTCTGTAACTACCAAGAGAATGTGATACTGGTAAGAAACCAACTCTGATCACTAGCATTTATTTTTCACCCTCACGGACAGGTGGGTTTCTCTGCCTCTCAATGGGTTACGTCCATCTATGTACAAACCCCTCCTAGCTACGTGGCAGAGACCCCACGTTCCAGGCTTCTCCCTCAAGACGTGGCCTTTTTCTTTTCTGGCATGGGGGAGGTGGCAAGCACAGGGCTTCCTCTCTGTCTTCTTTCTTGCTGCTTGGAATTAAATTCTAGAAAAGGAGAAGATGGGCGGCAGGGGATTTTTCTGTGCTTAGTAACCGTGGGAGTGACTAATGGGGAAACGGGATTCTTGGCCAGTGTGGCAAGTCACAGCGGGGAGTCGGGGCCCTCCTGTCCCGAGATGAGCCGCGGAATGCCCTTCCCAGGCGCTAGCACCTCAGTTTCATTGTACAGTAGCCATTTCAGCAGCCTCCCTGGAAAAAAGTCAGGGAGCAGTACAGTAGTCAGCAGCATTAAATTAAATAAATAGTGATAAATACACATTACTCTCTAGTTACCGAGGCATGTTTTTTCCCAATTGTACCTCTTAAATGTCACGCTCCTTCAAATGTGAGTCGTCTTCTGCGGGACATGTTGTGTTTAGCACTTGGTCGTGAAAACTGTAGGCAGGTTGGGAGAAATCATCGGGTTACTTCTACATACGTTACCTTGCCCTAACTGGAATGCACGAGCATGAGCTTTTGAGGGTTTTCCTTAGACACCACTCTGTCACCCAGCTGCGTGGATGAGAGCTTCTGGTACAGAGGTAAGATGACTAGTTACTCACCCTTACGTCCCCTGCTCTTTCAGCGCCCACTGGAGCTAGAGACACCGTTTGCATAAGAGGAATATGCAGCTCACTCCCCCTTGCCATTCAGAAGGCGGAAAAACCCTAGTGTTGGACAAGGTGGACAGTGAGGGCCTCGCATGTCACCTAATCTACCTGGCTGGGTAAGATCAGAAAGCATGCATTAAACATTCAAACAAGCACCCTGCATCCTAACCGGTCACAGTGGTGTTCAGTACGCCGCGCAGCGTAGCCTCTGCTGGCCCTCTTCCTCCTTCGGCTGCTAATGGGAGGCTGGAATTATCCCCCAGAACAAGTGAAAATATATATCGTCTTTCTAATGCAGCTCTACCATCTGACTTGCTTACAGAGCAAATGCTTTGCTGTCCAGCTTACGAGAGATACCAGTCAGAAGCCTCACACTGTGGACATCCCTCCAGACGTATCCTGCCACCCACTGACAGTCCCTTTTTTCTTTTCTTTTCTTTTCTTTTCTCTTTTTGGTCCCCATGACCCGTCCTAACCTCTCCTGGACTTTCGGAGGCCTTGTTGCTGTACAGATGCAGTCATGGAAATATCCCAGCAAAGGAAAGGAAGTTGTTCTTTTTCTCCCTAAGGTTTTCCTGCAGAGTTTGTAAGACCAGGTAAGGGCCAGGTGGTACAAGCAAAATGGTCTCGCAGACCAGGGGCAGGAGGGAAATTGGCTGAGCAGGGTAGCAGGAGCAGTTGCAAATAAATATTAATTTTGGTTTTCTTTTTAAGTTGGGGTACTCCCCCTATCGTGGGAAGTCACACAGGTAGTAGCCCTTTCAGCACCGATGTAGATCTTCAGCACAGGGATGGCTTAATGGCAGGGGCCCAAGCACACAGAAAGCAGAGAACTACAGAAAATGTAAAGGGGACACTGTCAAAGGGAACGGAAGCGTGCTTTCTGTGGTGTGGCTCTCCTCCATCCACGCACCTTGTAGGCAGATACTCCCCACCATCTCCTTGGCTCTTAATGCAGTATCAATAACAGGAGGCGGCAACCTAGTGTTGGGAGAAAGCATTTCAGCTCATTTACGTTCTGTGCTTTGCTCTCTGAACCAGGCTGGCCGGCATGAGAGCAAAGCGTATTTCTGCTCCAAGAAGTACAGAAGGTGATTGCCAGCGAGACCTGCTCTCTACAGACCTACGGCAATTCTGCCGGAGGCCCCCTCTCCAAATGCGGAATGGTTTTGTAGGGGATTGATGGCGATTGCCAAAACCTCTCTGCCCTGAAGCCAGCAAGGTAAGAAAGTTGACAGTGTCCCCTTTATATGTATAGATAAACGTAGTCAATCAGGGACCTTCATGCGTAGGGAGGGTTGGGGGGGCACTCACTCTGATGCTTCCCTTTGGAACAACAGAAACAAAACAGACAGACAGACAGACAAACAGCCAGGAATATTACAGAAGTGGTGCAAGGGCCCAGGGGAGCACACTTAGGCACACCCCTAAGCGCACCTCAGTGCCGGGAGAGCACAGCCCTCCCACACGCGCACACACCACGCTGCCACCGAGACGCTCCATTTCAGCCAGTGTTTGGAGGTCAATCCTTCCTCTCGATACGTAGGCTTTTTTTCTCTTAATATCTGTATATAATATATATAGTTATATTCTGTATATATATATATTTATATATATATATTTATATCTGTTAGTGGAAACGTTTCCGTTTCTCCTCTGGATCTGACCCGAAGTCCCGGGACCCGATGCCATTCTGAAGATTTATTAGTGAATCCTTCATCTGCAAGACAAGAAATTTCTCCACTGTGATGCTACCCTAGAGGTGAGAGCACTTTGAGGTTTCCTTCCCCATCGGTGCCTCCTCCTTCCACGTAAAGCATCAATACCAGAAGCATCTGGTTTTTGGGAGCAGCGCATCAGGGCCGGGATGTACGGATGGGGACTGAGAAAATGGGAGACCGTTCTCCAAGGTAACAGAGAAGGGCGAGCAGAATGAGGTATGGGGTGAGCACCTCTCTCCGTAGGGGAGAGCAGCTTTCATTTACGAACTCTGTTCTGAGCAGCCCGGTGTACAACCGGCTCTTTAGGCAGCGGATACCGAAACCCCTGGCTTTGTGCTATTAAGGGCCCACGCACAGCGCATCCCCTTCGTCCACGCAAGCTACGTGTGAATCCAGGGCCGAGGTAAAAAAGTTTTCTTTCCAAACTGGGATGCCGGAGACTAGATGTAAGATGGGCTAATGTAAGGTTTTTGGCCCTGTAGAATTCTCTCCCTGACGTGCGTGGACCCCTGTGAGGTGACGGAGAAGCTGTGGTATCCAGCGAACAGCCCTGGGGACCTGCTGCCCACCGCTACGTCCGAAGATGGATCTAAAGGGAGACGGTAGCGGAGGTGACGCACCTGATGGACTACAGTGGAACCAGGTAAGGCTGAAGGATTGCGAGCGGGGCGCTACGGTGACCCTCTAGTCACAGCACTAACCGGCCGTGCGGTCTCACCTGGTCTAGAAGCATCACCGAGGATTTGATGATCTCACGCCATTTTTGTAGCTCTGAGTCATGATACTTCTGCTGAGATTCTAGTAACTGGGCCCATTCTGTCTGAGATTGGGGTAACCTGTCAGGCAGAATATGAGCAAGAGCGGTTTCTGTCTAATCTTTTCACCCTAAAGGGGCAGGTTTTCTTAAGCAAAACTGCATTTACATGGGCTTAGTATTTTCCTAAATTGGATACCAATGTTATTCTGTCTTAACCATGGTAATTAATGAATTAATAGCAAAGATGTGCCTTTTGCAGAAGTTGTTGCAGCGTGGGAGGAACCGAAGGCCCATTTGCCAGAGGGGAACGCGAGGACAGAAGGCAGCGTGCTCGGGCACGCGCATACTGAAAGATGGCACCGTGGCCGTTGATGGGGAATAACGCAACGTAATGTTGTGGGACAGGTTAGCCCTGTACGGTTCCTGTGTTTTGTTTTTTTGAGACATGCTGTGTCAGTCTTTATTTAATACAAGGCTTTCTCTTTATTATGAGTAACAGCAGCACTGGCTCTCTTTTTAATGGCAGGTAAGTGTAAGTAAGTATTGAGCCCCTCCCTTCAGGCTCAATTAATCCTCCAGAACAGGGCTGGAGGCTGCTGAGTGGAGCAGAATCAGGGCAGATGCGAGCACTCAAGGCGCTGTTGGGAGGGACCCCCGGGAGTGGCGGCACAGAGCTGCCACTCAGGGCCCCGGGCAGGAGGTGGAGCTTGGCTGGGATAAATCTCAGTCGAGCAGAGCGACGCCAGGAGCGTAGCGACGAGGAGCGGAGTCGAGGCAGTTAGCACGGCAGTTGGAAGGCGCGGCGGCAGCACCCCACTCTGCCTGTTTCTCCTGAGAGGTAGGACTCCTCTTGCATGCCAATAGCTAAAAGTCATGCTACTTTGTAACATTAGCTAAACATCTTTCCTACTTTGTCTTCTGCATACCTGTTTGGGTTTTGCTACTTTCTAACATGGCTAAAAAAGGCTTTCCTACTCTTTCTGCTTTCGTCTTTGGTCTCTGCTGGTTTCTAACATAGCTAATAAAAGTCCCTTCTCCTTACTTACTTGGGCTTTGCTACTTTCCAACATAGCTGAATCCCTCCTCTCAGGCTACAGTAGAGATTTTCAAGCCTCTGTGTTACTGAGGGCTCATCTGCAGCTAGAACTCACTTCTTGGGTAAGTAAGTTCCTCCTTTCTCCCTGGCAATGTAATGTGATAGTCTAACCTGTTCCCCTCTTACCTTGGCAAACAGGCAGAGTGGGGTGCTGCTGCTGCCGCCACGCCTTCCTGCCGATGCCAACTGCCGTGCTAACTGCCTCGACTCCGCTCCTCGTCGCTACGCTCCTGGCGTCGCTCTGCTCGACTGAGACTTATCCCAGCCAAGCTCCACCTCCTGCCCGGGGCCCTGAGTGGCAGCCAGTCCCGGTGATCCTCCCATCAGCGCCTTGAGTGCTCGCATCTGCCCTGCTCAGCTGGCTCCAGACCTGGAGATAAAACAAAGAAATGTTAATTAAGCATGACAATAGCAAACCAACACAAGTGAAAAAATCGACCCACTCCCCATGGTCTATCGACCCTAGTCTCTAATCAGGAACCCTCTACTATTCATAAAGACTGCTTTCCCTGTCTGAGCGGAGAGGCTACATACTTGGGGTTGGTACACTTAGTTTGGGGGACCGCTGACTGCCCCTGCCCGCAGGGAACTTAAGTCTCAGTAGAACCAGATATGGAAAAAAATGTCTTCGGAGCCTCAAACTGAATGTTTCTAAGCACACCCAGCAGATGGGTTCAGTCTACTTCCACAGCAATCACGGCTGCAACACAATGAAGTCACCTGTACGGGGGAGGGAGGGGGGAACAGAGCTGCCCATATAATTCCAGTACGTGCACATTACCAGAAGCACACAAACAGCATTTAAGTCCTGTACTTAAATAGTATATTGTAGTGGTCCAGGTAAATACCAAGAGGGCCAGAGGAAGATAAAGCAGGCAAACATCGCTCTGTGTACCTACCCCTGGGAACGCAGCAGGGCTGTTTGTTATGGGGAAAATAATAATTCCCTTCCCTAATGAGGAGAAATGAGACAAATAATGCAAAAAGCCATCACAACAGTAGCACATGCCTATGGATGCTTAAAGTCAAACCCAACTTAGCAAGACAATAACTGTGACCGCACAAAAGTACAGCCAGGAAGGGGACGGAAGGGGACAAAAACACCTTAGCAAAGTGGACTCGGGATGTTCTCAACCTCTGAAAACAGAAAGTATACAGGCAGGATACCTAGCACTTACTTACATACAGAAAAAAAGCATTCACCTAAAAATGCCAGAAGGAATTCAAAACACCAAATTGCTGGCTGTCATTATAAACAAACAACTCGGGTCACCCCTGTAAATGCCATCTACAACAAGGTGCTCTGGAGCACAGACTGGCAGGTCTGCCTTTGACCCTAGACAAAATGGGGGAGTCTGTATAATAAAGACTGATCCCAACAACAAATTTCACACTTTTGGCATGCCTTCTGTAAAGGGAAGTGGACACTGTACCAAAACAGGATGTCCAAAAAGCCTTGGACAAGGTCCCATGCTACAAATTACTAAAGAAACTAAGTCAATCTGCAGTCACACTTCACTGCTTACCATCTAGGAGTGCCAGGGAACGCTTAGGTTGTTAAGGAGCGCCCTGTGTCCTCCTAGTGATCTCGCTGGTCCTCCCACGCTCTAACAACTTGCTGATATCTGGACCCACACCTTTCAAAACGCTCCTCTAACAGTCAATCGTGTGTCACAGGCCCAAATTCTGCTCTGAGTACAAAGGGTTCTTTCTAGGACACTGCCTTTCATACAGAGGCAAGTGTAGCCATCAAAGGAGGGGAGGTGACGACCTTGGCCCAAGACTGCAAAACATTTATTCATACAGCACCCTCCGTTACATGGGATGCTGGGAAGAAGCAGAGGTTGCCTTAACTCCCTGTCTTCTGCTGCAACTGTTCAGCAGTTTCAGATCTGGAAATGCTGATGGCCCCACAGCTTCAGCTAACTAACTACCTGCTTCATCTGCATTACACAAAAAGGAAGCAATCTCCAAGAGAGCCCGGGGCTTTGGCGTTCTGGGAAAGCTGCTAACGACCGTAGCGAACATGCAAGAAGAGGCAAAGACAAAGCAGGTGTGACAGTACCTTTCCTGTAGCCGCAAGCCCTGCCACGCCGTGAGCGTCTGCGTAGTATATTCCAACATCCAGAGTTTGTAGAACAGCATCATATTGAGAATGACCAGCAGCACCAGGCTGGAAATAAAACAGTCGGTTTACGAGGAGTGCTTCATAGCCCATTGCCTGCCAATCACACCTGGGAAAATGCCCGAGGCTTTAAGAAGGTGTCTGGGGCCCAGGTCCACGCTGTTACGTGAGTGGGGATTTAATCTGAGTAAGGGCCGGGTGACCAGAACCCAAAACTTCGCCTTGTGGGAGAAATGTGTGAGCAAGGAGGACGGACAGACAGACAGAAAGACAGGGATGACGGGTCCGACAGAACAGGTGGATGAGAGGATGTGCTGAATGCAGAGAAAGGGAGGGAAACAGGAGAGTAGAGAGGTAAAAAAAGAGAGAGACAGTACCTGAAACAGATCCTAATGGGAGCAGGGAAGAGAAAAGACGGAGTAGCTGCAGGTTAGAAACAGACTGACACAGAACAGGAGAAACAGAGGAACAGTGGGAAGAGAGGCAAGAAGGACAGACAAATAACCGTGTGCCTGCAATTAATGGTGACATTTCCTCAGCAAAAGATGAGCTGCGTGTAGCTCTTGCGGACAAGCCCAAAGCGCGCCCACGCAGGGCACTGTCTGGCACGTAAACGCACGTTGCAGCCTGTGTGCATCCAGCTTTACCCCCTCCTACCGCACCCGGCGATGGGAACGCCACCGCAGGCCGCCCTGCGAACCAGCGCTTTGACCAGATCTTGTGCCGCTCCTCTCCCCCCCCCCGCCGCCGCGCATGGGCTTTTCCGCTCCTCCCGTTGGCCACACTCCGGGAATAGATTCCAAAATAACACGCTCGTGCCTGTCTCTGAATAGCACAGCTATTTTGCTGGAAGAATGGCCCACTACCACCCAGTTCAGTCAGGCGGATGGCACCTGGCCAGAAGAGTATTCTGAAAACATTACGGAGGGCTCTCTGACCGCTCTAAGCTAAGCTAGTAGCCTGTCAGGAGAGACTGTCGTAAAGCTTTTGTGCCTTCCTACCCTAAGTTTTAATTGCATCTCACCTGTCCGGATGCAGAAGAAGGCACGAGGCTATCTTCTCATCGTTACATTACCTTACTTACCACTATAGCAGTTAGCTGGGTTGCTGCTGCAACCCTGCGCAGTCTTTATCCCCACCGGGAAAAGGAAATGCGGAAAGGAGCTCAGTTTGAAAAGTAACCTCAGTCTACCAACCTCAGCTTCTTCCCACCTCACTAGAAGGTGGGTGGAGCCTAAGGGAAGAATGAGCCCAAGTTCTGCTGTTCCTCTGGGGTTACCAGGATGCTTCCATTTCCCCAAGCGATGAAAAAACCCGCCGTTCTCTGGATTGCTCCTTTAGACTGTACCACTTCGCAGCACCTGCCCAGCAACCGCTGCAGCACTAACACATGAAAGCTGCCATCAGCCCAAGAGGCAGAGAAACAGTAAATACGCCCGGCTTTAGGCATAAAGACTGAGCCACAGGGACACGAGGGGCCCATACCCAGCTCACTTTGAGCACACATCCAGCCGAGTCCAAGACTAGCGGCTGAAAGGTGGTGGCAGAAAAGGGCCCCAAACCAAACATAGTACTTGCTGCTGAACTAACGACATCGTGCCAATCTCTCTTGCTTCATGTGTTTCTACTCTTATTTTGCAGAAATCATCTCTAAACAGTCCAGCTCCTTTCTGAGATGGTATCTCTCATAAAGATCGCCACCCAGGACCAGACCAGAGGAAAGAAGTAACAGACAGACTCCTCACATACACTGAGCCCAGTTGTGATAGCACAGTAACTCCCAGAGAGCTTCGCATGGTCATCTTTCATGATAACAGCTAGTTTGTCAGCAGATTACATTAAATGGCTTATTTTAAATTAACAAAAACCCCACAGTTTCTAGGTGTCATTGACAATCTCTAAACTGAGTCCCTGAAATAAAAAAGACTCTTTCTACTTGTTGGATTTCTTCTCTTTTAAGTATTGACTCCCCTTTCCTTGCACAGCTGCCCTTCACCTTGCTGGTCACCATCCATGTTGCCCGTGTCCCAGACAGTACAGCTGACCTGCATTTAGGACTCCCAGAAACATGCAGGCCCGCAAAGCCCGTGTTTGGTTAAAACAAGGTCAAAACTGAGGGGAAAGGAGAGACTTCGATAAAATGAGATCCAGAACCTACAGAGCCAGATCAGTGGCCAGATGAGTACTGGCAAAAACTGGGATCAAGCCAGACAAAACAGCTGATGGGACATTTGGGGGAAATTTTAATTAATTCTTTTCTGCCTGTCATTGCTTTCCTCTCCTCTGTCCTGCACAAAGTTTGGGACCAGAGAGGAATACGAGAGAGGAAAAACTGGCACAGGGGAGCACAGAATGCCAGAAACATGAAAGGACCAAAGTTGTTAAAGGCTGACTGAAGGAAAGCAAAAAAATCACTTACACAAAACTGATGACAAGGAGCAGCTTGGAGACACTCTGCAGGTGGAAGCCGCTGGGGCTCTCCTCAGGGATGTGCCGTGTCTGAGTGGAACCTGAGGAGGCAGATGCGTTTAGGCTAGGAAATGCTGTCCGACAGGGAGAGCAACCCTTTTCCCACTATCCACCCCTCCAATCTCACTCAGGCAATCATCATGCATCTTCCCCGCCCTGGAAAGCCCTGGCCCCTCTCCCCATTAACCCTCCATGAGCAAAGCTCCAGTTTTTCTCCAAGAGGTACTCAGCTCTCCATCCCCAAGCGCGAGGGGTCTGCCCTTCCCTACCTGCCACATGCTTGATTCGATGCGCGACCTCCTCATCTGTGGGGGTGGTGACGGGACTCAGCACCTCCTCCAAGTGTGGCACCCGCAGATGGGCATGGGCCCGTTTCCTACGGCGCACGGTCGATTGCTTGCTCACTTTCTCTTTGGGGGATTGTCTGTGGACCTCGGCCAGGTACGTGCTCTCGGTTTTGGTCAGTTCACTTTCTGTAGAGACAGCAAGGGAAAGCATTTAATACAAGCGGCACTGGCCTTGCAGAGATACAGACTTAAGCCCTCTAATGGGACAGCTGCTGGGCCAAAGAAGTTGGCAGGGTCTAAGAGGCCCATGCCAGAGGACACACTACACATCCCTTGCACCTTTTGCCAAACTCTGACCCCAGACTGCCTCCGCTCCTGACAGAGAGGAGGATCGGATGACCTGACTAATTCCAGCAAGTGCTACCAACACTGTGGTAATAACTTTTGTAAGACATGCCGAGGTCTGATCCCCAGTAGGCCAGCAGCAGGTGTCACACTGTCACGCTGCCCGCTTGCAGGGAGGCATGCCTAAACTATGGAAGGTGCCACTGTTTGTGGGTCATTACCGCAGCTCCAGTCACTGCCACTCTTACCCAAATGACGGAAATAATCATCTAGGCCGCTCCAAAAATTCTTCTCAATGAAGGATTTCACCAGCCCCCAAGGCTGTTTCCTGTAACGTAACTCTGTGGAAACCCTGCATGAAGAAAGGAAAGTCATTCTCCCAATTCTGCTTCCTGGAGGCGATGTCAACTCACAATCCTTTGTCAATGTAAATATGAGAAATAATCGTGCACACTGTTATTTCTGGAATGGTCTCGGCCCTTCGTGTTTCTCGAGGAGAAGCACTGCATGAAAAGTCCTTCCAAAGGCAGTGGCAGGAAGGCCTCAAGAGAGCCTCCCCCGAGAGGACTCCCGAGACCTTCGGCCACGTGGCAGGCAGACATTTAGACTACTTACTGAAGTCAAACACAAAAGCCTATCGCTTTGCCTGGCACCAAATGCCTCTGCTCATCCCCCCAAGCGCCATCTTGGAGGCACAGTCCCTGGAAGTATGTCCTGTTGCTTATCACATCTAGTTGACTGTGTGTGACAACTGTCCCTGCAAACCACTGCTTCCAAGAAGGGGGCAAGAAAAGTCCGTAAATCCTCTCCCTGACCCAGCTGTAACTCCACTGCATCGGGCCTATTGTTTGCTGGATGTCACCACAGTAGGCAGCTGCCCCTATGGTAACTCTTCGTGACAGGAGTGTTCTGGCAACAGGACAAAGAAATAAGGCTAAGTTCTCCCCAACCCCTTCTAACACACCAAACAGCAGAACTCCCACCCAAAGGTAACTTTTGGTCGTCAGTAAAGCTCTTTATCCCACAAGAAGTGTACCTGAGTCGGCTTTTGTTTCTGGCAACACGAGTCAATGTGTAGCGGTTAATGGTGTAGAAATAATCATGGTAGGGGACGTCGTGAGTTAGCACCTCTGCATCTATGACATAGCACTCGCTTTCTTGGCTGGCTTTGTACATTGTCTGCATAAAAGACAGCATGCAAGGCAACTATTAGTCTGGTTAGGACACGGCTTTGATAGATTGGCACCTTCAGTAGCACTTTACAAAAACAGCTCTACCACCAATAGGAGACCACATCCATGCCCAAGCCCCATCTCTGCAATTTTTCCATGAACAGCTCACCTTTCAGGGAAGGCATACTCGAGGAAATCAAGTGTTTCACTCAGATGTTTCCCAAGGGCATATTTCAAAAGGGACATTCAGATCCAGCAGCTCAACCTCCAGCATTTTGTATCAGAGACGTCGTTACCTACACTGCCAGGTGAGGACCCGTTCTTTGGGACCTTTCCAACTGTACCTCTTCTCATTAAACTGATGTCTGCCTTGTCAGGGAGCAACCTGATCTAAAAATCAGAGGTGGCCCTGCTTTGAGCAGAGGTCCTTTCTAGCATAAATGATTCTGCGAGTCTGAACACTGTAAAAACATGTCAGTTGCTTCTTTTAAGCGCTTCTGATCTGCTTCTTTCTTTGCCCCAGAACAAACCTCACAAAGGCGACAGACACAGTTAACTGCAGATCCATATGCAAAAGCACGGCTTTTCTTACAATTTCCACTTACCTCTGCAGCGAGAACACAGCAAAGTGCATCTCGGTGGTTGACCCCAAACTCAGAATAAAACAGGCCACATCCTTGCTTGCCTGAAAGTGTACTCTTCCCTTTGCCATCACTTTGCTCTCCCCTTTTCTTTCTCTTATCTTCCCTGTGCACTATCTTTGCTTCCGAACAGCACGCTTCATCCCATCCTTACAAGGTACACCTTGCCGCTGGGATTCTCCTCTCCCTGAAATGTAATGCTCAGACACCCCATCTTTTCTTGGCTCCCTCTTAGTATTCCCTCCAGCTAACTCTCAGCATTTACCTTTGGCCACCTGAACCTATCTCTGGACACAGAAGGAGGCTTTTCCTCCCTCTCTAGCTGCAGCCCCTACTAGATACAGCTAGCCTGCCTCTTCCTTCCCAGTGCATTGCAGCTGCTCCCCTTTTTTACCTTTTTAAACAGGTCATCTAATTGTCCTCACCAGTAATAAAAAAGCCTGGACATCTCTTTGTAGAGCTGTGAGAAGGACTGGCCAGACAGTATCTGACTTCCTTCTGCTCTGCTCATGAATAACAGCTGCTGGACTGACCGCAGCTCAAAAAACACCAGTACAGACGGCAAACACGGTTGTTAGAATGTGCTGGCTGGTTTACAAACTCATCTGCTTTCGCTGGAAAATTTATGGTCCTTTCCTTGCAACGCAATCCAGTGCGAGTGTAAGGCTAGCTATTCACATTTGCAGTGATACTGGGTAGCAAGTTAATACAAGAAAAATGTGTAAAGGAAAATGGATACGGAGACTGAAAACATGCAAAGCAGCATGCCCAAGACAAGAAAATAAATCACAGATCTGTTTCTACAAAGCATTACACCCCTGCTCCCCTTTCACATACCTGTGTCTCAGTGACAGTGGCAGTTTTGGGGGCCAGAGGGTTGGTGAGGGTAATGGTATACAAGATCACTCTGGTCTGATTGCCATTTTCTTCTTTCTTCCAGGGATGAAAGATAATATCTGAAAGGACAAAACAATATTCCATTCAAGTAACTGGAGAGGGATCTCGCATCGGTTCCCCAGGGAAAGGCGTAACCATATAACCAAGCTCAGGACAGTATTTCCTTCCCCTTGGAGAGCCTGGCTGCAGAAGTACTAGAGCTCAACTGAGCGTGAAAGGAAAGTCTCCCGTACTAAATGTGAATACTTTCCCCTCTTTCAAGTGAAGGGAAAG